TACTGGAAACAGCTTGTGACAGGCCACCGACTGGAGTTAACTCCATTCACCACCACCCTTTGGGGCCGGCCTCCAGACAGTTTTTCACCCAACGAGGGATTTGCTCGGCCCAGCCTTGGGCAGCTGAGTTCTACAGGAGTCGTGTGGGGGCGATAGTGTCTATCCCACCCCAAGGGAGTGCTGTGGGATGGGGCCATGTCTGCCCCTGCCTGTCCCTACCTTTCCTTGCCTGCCCCTGTCCATCCATGCCTGCACCCCATGGAACCTGCAAAATGGGCAGCTTAGCCTAAAACTGAGGACATTTCCCCTCTCCCCAGTGCAGCAGGGCATGAACAGCTCGGCTTTGCAAAACGTTAGAGACTTTGGGTTGAACTTGGGGGTTTAGGCCTTCATTTGCAGGGTGGAAAAGCAGCCTGCATTTTTTGTCTGCACCTTGGTGGGGTTTTGCTTCAGAAATTTCCTGTGTCTGTATGAACCCACCCTTGGATATCAGATGGAAGATCTTTAGCAGAGGGCAAAGCCAGAGCCTGGCTTTCCTTAGGTCTGGTTTTCTTTTCCTGCTGCTGAATTGTTTGATTGACTACTTTTTCCTGATTTTCAGCTTGCAAGCAGAGCTCGCTTTGCCCTGGCTGTATGCCAGGCAATAGATTTAGAAGCCCCAAAACAGCCTAGAGATTGCTCCTGATTAAATAAACTGGACTTTGGAGGAGGAGGAAGAATCTCCTAGGATCCCGAAGATGCCTAAACCCCTTACCCAAAACCCAGGGGCAGCTTGTCAGAGCAAGTCTTTTTCTCCAAAAATGCTGCCTCGTTTTGCAGTGCTCCGGTGTGGTGCTTACAACTCCCCATCTCTGAGGATGGAGGAAAGCAGAGCTGCTGCTCCCACGGGGCCACTCTGCCATTGACACACGACATTTTGAGCAATATTAAAAAAGAGGCTCAGATAACCGTCTGTTAGTACTGCTATATCTCTCTAAATGTGCTTCCCATTACCAGTAATCTGGTTACTTTAATTGCCAAAGCCATTAGGGCTTTTCAGGGTCTGAAAGGAAAAAAAAAAAATGCAATTACCAGCTCCAAATTGAGTTAAAATCTTGTAATAAATTACAGCGAAGGCTACTTTCTCCAGTGACTCTCAGAGGCACATTTAATTCCCTGCAGCTCTGTGCAAGATGTGCTTCAGGGGAGAAACTCAATTAAAAACAAAAACTCATTTAATTTTAATTGCTGGGCTAATAAAGCCGCTGTCACCTGTAGCATCTCTACGTGTGCGTCTGGTGCCTCAGCTTTGCAAGCGGCTTCTTCCTCTCTTCTAATGTATCTATTGCCCATATATATTTATTAAAGAATATCATTTAAGTACAAGCACACATGCACACCAGCTGGTGGTGGCGAACATGGAAATGGGTAAAAATAACACGTTTTTCTCTGTGGGAGGTAGGGGCAGGTTGGATGTGAAGCTGTGGCCACCGCTCCTGCTCTGTTCTCTCCTTTTTACCAAGGTGATGTGAATTTTATAAAGTACGTCAGGGTTGGTGTGGGGGATGGCCTTGGCGTGGTCAGGGAGTTCCCCGTAACTCTATTTGGTGGTGAGATGAAGGGAACGAGCTGGAGGGTGAGCACTCGTCGACGGCGATGCTCTAAAACCTCTCAGATAAACCACTTTGACAGGCCAGAGAGGGGTTATGCCACAAAGCTGTCCCCAAAATGTCCCTGGGGCAGTGCCAGGAATCTGGCAGGTTGCTAGTATTGTTGATCCCTGCTTGCATGTTCAACCACAGCAATAAGTTCCTTATTCTTGTACCACTTGCAAGGCTTTGCTGCTGCCTGCCAAGACACATGATCGTCCCCATGGAGCTGCCGGTGCCTGCTGGCCCTTGCCATGTGCCCACCAGTGGCTGTTTCTGCTCTTGCAGGGGATGAGGATCCTGCAGCGTCTGGCTTATTCAGATTTCCTGGAAAAAAAATGTAGATTTCTACATTGGGTTCTCAACCCCAAGAGCCTCTCTGTGCAGAGACTAAACACCAAGCAGATCCAGTCCTCCCTAGGGGAGCCAGGCTGGGTGGACATCATCTCAATGTCTGTCTATCAGGAATGACAGATGTTTCCACTAATTAAAGAAAAATAACAAGAGGGAGCTTGTTGCTGCTTCTGGGGTTAGGATGCAGCAAACCTAGAGTCATCAAGGAAAAAGAAATTAGGGACAAATTGCTTGTTTGGGAGGAAATGGGGCGGAGAAAAGGGAAAGACTAAGGTGGACAAGGGAGAAGTGTGCATGGAAATGTTGTGAGGAGAAGGGCAAAAGGAATTGGTTATCTTTGAGGAAGTGGCTGGATTGCGCTCGTCTGGATGACTCTGACTGGGCACATCCCAGAAGAACTTACTTCAGACTATTTTATGGGACCATCCATGGAGGGTGCACGGGATGCACCATCGATCATCACATTGTGCTGACGTGGATCCTTGGTCCCAGAGGTTCTGGCTGGCCCTAGGACGGTGCCTGACTTGAGCTGGACGAGAGCAGGTTGTGTTTCTGCAGGAGGGGTGCTGGGTCCCTGCAGCCTGATGTGTATCTCAAGTAGCAAACCTCAACCTTGGGTGAGAGCACCGGTTTTCCATGTTATAGAGGGAAACGAGCTTGGAGACAGCACAGAGCTGCTTGCTTCGATGATGTAACTCAGTGATCATCACCAGGAAAAGCAACACAAAAAGCAGGGAGGTCACACAGGGCTCACATTTCCTGCTTATGCTCTTACACAAGTACAAGATATTTCTAAAAGCCCGATTCAAGCCTCTAGCAGGATGGGAGCAGGAGAAGGAGCTTCTGTAAGTGCATTTTTTGCTTCTTGCTTGTAGACAAAGCTGCATAAGAAACCTGGAGAGGTTCTCTTTTTTTTTTTTTTTTTGAAAGTTAGCCAGCTTGTAAACTCTGCCAAGCTTGGGATTAATTTCTGAGCTGAGCCCATGTTGTGTTTGTCAGTTCTCCGCTTTGAGAAGTGGGATGGGGATGTGAATGTCAGTGCCAGTGTGATATAGAGCGGGGCAGAGCACCGCAGAGGGACAAGATGCTTCTCAGTGGGCTGGAAGAGACCCAAAAAGGGAAATTTTGAGGGTGTCTTGTCCTGAGGTGAGTGCAGAAGGGATGTGTGTGTTCAGGAATCTTTTGGGTGTTGCTGTGGTCAGAAGGCTGGGCAGATTTAATTTCTTCTCAGGTGCATACAGTTAGAACTGTATATGGCTATGCATGAATTTCCTCCAAAATATGGGGGGAGGGAAAAAGCTGATTCCCAGAAAAGACTTTTGCTGGCACTCTGCCAGGGCAGATCCCTGCTCTCCATGGCTGCTGTGTCTGAAGTACCTGCGTCACAGAACTGCAAGACAGCAAGAAAACATTGCAATCCATCCCAAACCGTATTTCCTTTTCTTTTCAGCCTCCTGGAATTGCCCGGAATGAGCATTTAAACAATTTTAGACAGGAGACCTCAACAGGTGTGTCCGCAGCCTCCCCCCCTTACTGCTCTGCACCCACGGCCATCCTCAGCACCCAGCTTTAAGCCTTGGGTGCTTTGCTCAACCTGCTTAACCCTTTCCTGGCGTGCTTGTGGAGGGAGGAGCTATCCCTAGAAGTTCCAGAGCCACCTTGCTGCATGTCTTTCTCATATACATTGCACAACCAGGGATGAGCAGCTTCATTTTCTCATTACTTGATGGCTGCAGATTTCTTGGGCAGTGGGAGAAACAGGTTCCTAGAGGAGAGCAAGGCAGGAGTGGCTTCAGGCAGAGAACTACAGCCGTGCTTGGAAAAATGAGCCCCAGGGGAAACGTGGGCGGCTTTGGCTATGGCTGAAAAACAGTGTGGTTTGGGAGTGGACTGATTCACTGACAGAGGGTAGAGATAAGTCTTGATTTTTAAAACCCACATTAACCTTCATAGTACCAAAGGCAGGTGGGCTCTTCACTGAGAACCGTTGCCCAGTTTGAGTTGCTTCTGGAAGATGAAACACTTGTAGTGTTCTTGTATTTTTTTTTTTTCTGAAAAAAACTTTCCAAAACTATGAAGCTATGGAAATCAGTTTCCTGTAATCTGGGCTGCAGCTGTCTGAACACTAAGTCCTGGGGAGCGGCCGATTGCACAGCCCTCATCCTCCTTGGTCAGCAGAATTTCAGGCATGCCTCATCTCAAGATGGATAGACTCCAGCAACATCCTTCCAGTGCTGGAGATTAAAATAGTTTACTTGCAGAATATTAGAATTAATTGTAAGATTGCTTAAAATGGCGATGAATTGAAATATTTTTTGTCTTATGAGTGACATTGCTTAACTCCATCGGTGCAAGGCGGGGCAGGGAGTGGGGGGTGTGGTCCATCTGGTAACTACTCATGTCTACGGTAGTTCCTCCTTCTTGGGGAAGAGGGCTCCTCACAGTCTTCCCCAGCTGCCACGTGGTGTCCATCTCACGGGAAGCAAACCTCTCCTTCCACATGAGTTCATCCCAACTGGGGTTGTGAGTTGCTTCAGGCATCTCCTCTACTCCTGCACGATCTCTCTGCTCTCTGGCATGGGGCTCGCCATGTACCGCTGCATCCTGGATGTTCTCACCACCACCGATCCCCTCAGCTCACAGCTCACCCTGTCATCTCACTCACTGTAGGACTCGGGGAAAACGCTCTGCTCTGATGTCTTTCTCCCCTGCTTTTCTTACCGACCCCAATCCTTTGCTTTCCTCTCGACTCCTGCTCCTCCCAACACAAACTCCTCAACACAAAAGACAGACCAAGATAACGAGAGAAGACGAGATGAGATACTGAAACACAGAGGAAGAGGAAGTGGTACAGTAGATTCCCATCTTAAATACATTGATTACAAGAGGTGCTGATTGGCACCTGGCCTTGGCCAGAGGTGGGTCAGAATTTTACCTGGGGCAGACTCTTGAAGTTTTGCAAGAGTTATCCCTCACAGCCCTCCTCCCACTACCAAAAACGCTGCCAGACTCAAACCCATGACAAAGTTTTACGAGGAGCGGCTGAGGGAATTGAGATTGTTTAGTCAGGAGAAGAGGATGCTGAAGGAAGACCTTATCATGCTCTACAACTACCTGAAAGGAGGTTGTGGTGAGGTGGAAGTCAGTCTCTTCTCTAAAGTAGCAAATGATAGGACAAGAGCAGATGGGCTCAGGTTGTGCCAGGGTAGATTTAGATTGGATATGAGGAGGGACTTCTGCACAGAAAGGGTTGTTAAGCATTGGAACAGGCTGTCCAGGGAAGTGGTGGAGTCACCATCCATGGAGATATTTATAAGACATGTAGGTAAGATGCTTAAATACATGGTTTAGCGGTGAGCCTGGCAGTGTTAGGTTAGTGATTGGACTTGATGATCTTGAAGGTCATTTCCAACTGAAACAGTTCTATGACTCTATAATTTTTATATGTGTGTGTAGATGGCTGTCCCCATGCTATAGAAGAAGGCCAAGGAGTAGAGGACATAAAATACTTGTCAGAAGGAGGCAGAATTTCAAACCTAGAGGAAAACCCTCTATGATTTGATGTTTGCCTTTCCTATGTGGACAGAACAACACTTTGATCCCCTTCACTTGTCTTTTACTCCTAGGTAGGCACTCATCAAACACAACTTCAAATGTTGCAACAACCGCTGCCACCTTGCTGGATGCTGCCAATTCGAGCCACTACTTGTACGAGTACTTGGATTATGAGGATTACATGCAGTATGGCCTCTGCACAAAAGAAGACGTACTCTCCTTCAGCAGAGTATTCTTGCCATCTTTTTACACGGTGGTCTTCCTGGTTGGGTTGACTGGGAATGTCCTCCTGTTTACTGTCCTCATTATGCACATCAAGAAGAAAAAGAAGATGAGTGAGGTCTATCTACTGAACCTCGTGGTTTCAGACATCTTCTTGCTACTAACCCTTCCTTTCTGGGCTCTGTTCATATCTCACTCGGTGACCTGGGACATATTGTGCCCGGTCTTAAATGTCATGTACACTATGAATTTCTACAGTGGTATCTTTTTTGTGAGCTGCATGAGTCTGGACATGTATCTGCAGATAGTTCATGCTTGCTCTCCTCGCAGCTCCATGACACAGAGGAAATCCATGCTTGTCATGTTAGTGGTATGGGTCCTTTCCATACTTCTTTCCATTCCTGATGGCCTCTTCACCAGCACAAGGCAAATGTACAACAAAACCATGTGCGCCCATGATTATGGCCCCAGACACTTATTTTGGAAAGTTGTCTTTAGAGTCATTCAAAACATCCTGGGATTCCTTTTTCCCTTCCTCTTCATGATGTTCTGTTATTCCCGCATAGCGTGTGTCCTCACCATGTCTCAGATGCCTGGCTCAAGGAGAGCATTGTGCTTAGTCTTTACTCTGGTGGCTGTCTTCTTTGTCCTGTGGTCTCCTTACAATGTTGTCCTCATCCTACACTCCCTGCAAGATGTTGGTGTGATTGCGAGCTGTGAAAGCAGCAGGCAATTGGACTATGCCATGCAGATCACGGAGAGTTTGTCCTTTGTCCACTGCTGTCTCAACCCCTTGCTGTATGCATTTGTAAAAAAACGGTTCAGGTTGTATTTATGGAAGATCCCTCGGGCCATTTTCAAGAAAGGTGGTTTCTTTGACATCCAGCCCTCAGATACAAGCCAGTCTTGCAACAGACATGCAGCTGAAATAGAAATGTTGAGTATCACAAATGTATGATAAATACTTACATTATTTACATTATGTGCATGCCCTCTCTGCTGTATTTTACCGGTCCTGGCTGTGCAGTAGAGTCAGTGTGAACCCACAGCGTGGCATAACCAGATACTTCATCCTAGTGCCAGCATCGAGATGTGGATTTTCCACTTTGGGATTGGAAAAGTACACATGAGAGTTGTTTCTGTTGGAACAGGACAAGCTGGAGAAGTGGGCCCATGTGAACCTCATGAGGTTCAACAAGGTCAAGTGCAAGATCCTGCACCTGGGTCAGGCCAGTCCTCATTATCAGTACAGGCTGGGGGTGATGTGCTAGAGAGCAGCCCTGAGGAGAAGGACTTGGGGGTGTTGGTGGGCGAAAAGCTGGATGTGAGCCACCAATGTGCGCCGGCAGCCCAGAAGGCCAATCGCATCCTGGGCTGCATCGCAAGAAGCGTGGCCAGCAGGTGAAGAGAGGGGATTACGAGTGGTGAAGCACTGGAACAGGCTGCCCAGGGAGGTGGTGGAGTCACCAACCCTGGAGGTGTTTAAAAAAAAAGTAGATCTAGCACTTGAGGCTGTGGTGTAGTGGTTAGGTGTGCTGGGATGAAGGTTGGACTAGATGATCTTCAGAGGTCCCTTCCAACCCCTAACGTTCTGTGATTCTGTGATTCTGCCCCTCTGCTCTGCTCTGGTGAGCTGTGCCCAGCTCTGGAGCCCTCAACACAAGGAGGACATGGACCTGTTGGAGCGGGTCCAAAAGAGGCCACAAAGATGATCAGAGCACTGGAGCACCTCTCCTGTGAGAAGAGGCTGAGAGAGTTGGAGTTGCTCAGCATGGAGAAGAGAAGGCTCCAGAGAGACCTTATAGAGGCCTTCCGGTACCTAAAGAGGCTACAGGAAAGCTGGGGAGGGACTGTTTATAAGGGTGTGTAGCAATGATTTTAAACTAGAACAGGGTAGATTTAGATTAGACATTAGGAAGAAGTTCTTTACTCTGAGGGTGGTGAAACACTGGCACAGGTTGCCCGGGGAGGCGGTGGAGGCCCCATCCCTGGAGACATTCAAGGTCAGGCTTGATGGGGCTCTGAGCAACCTGATCGAGTTAAGGATGTCCCAGCTTACTGCAGGGGGTTTGGATTAGATGAGCTTTAAAGGTCCTTCCCAGCCCAACACATTCTATGATTTTATGATTATAAAAGGATTGCGCTGGGTTTATGCTTGTGGAAGAAGCACAGCTCCAGTCTGGAGTATGTGAGGCATTAATGGATGAAGGAGCAGCTTATCTAGATGTTGTGACATTAAAAACACAATCTGAAATTTATGCAGAACTTCTCCCCCATAGATCCCAAAAGGTATGGTGGAGGAGAATGATCCTGTTATGCCTTCAGCTCGTGGTGTGGGCTGAGGAATGGATTTATGATGCTTATCCCTCAGGTTGGACATGAGTGACCAAAAGCCCAGCCCGAGGGGTGACTTTGCTTCTTCTGGCTTCTTCTGGTCAGTATATGCAACTGGGGTCATCCCTTTGTCTATGAGGAGAGACAACAGGAAAAATTATGCGGCTTTAAACTGAATTATCTGACCAATGATGGGTTTCTCTGTCATGTCACTGTGCCACAATTGGATCTGCTCAACGGGAGGCTGTGTCTTTCTGAGTGACAGATCCTTGGTCAGAGATCAGTTCAATCGTCAGCTGATTTGAGATCAATTTGATCTGCAACAAAGTTCAAACCAGAAACAACCAGTGAGAAAGAGAAAAAAAAATGAGCTCAAGTAGAACAGGAATGGAGGTATTTGCCTTTCTGAAGCTTTGATTTGATGAGACAAAAAAGATCCAGGGATACCATCCTCAACATAAATATTGGCTTCGCGAAACCACAGAGTGATCAGAAGAGCATGGATACCCCTTAGCCAATCCTTATTACCCAGTGTAGCTTTAAAGTTCAAAGTTATTAGTTCTCTGACTTTTATTTAAAGTTACTATTCACCCCAAATACTCTTGAACCTTAAATGGGCCCTTTCCAGCCTGGAAACCTAATAAGCATGGGAGTTGCCTAGAATAAAATTAATAATTTAAGATAAAAACTTCGTTACCTTAGTTTTATTGCTAGACAAAGTTACTGCACTGAAAAAGGCTTTGAGTTGAACTAGAAAAAATGGTTTTGTTGTCATTGCTGTTATTTTTCTTGCCAATGTTGCTACCATGTGTTTCCAAGCTGTGAGCTTTCCGTAAAAACAAAAAATAAAAGGAAAAAAAAAAGCCAGAATAAATATTTAACTGATGCTACGATGTGGCCTTCACTTCGTGGGTCAGGTCACTGGGAGGGAACGTGGAAGGGGAGAGCAGCTGGGAAATAAAAATTAGGCTGAAGATTGTGATCCCATACAGAGGGAGGGCTCGTGGGACTGTGCAAAACTTACAACAGGATGCTCAGGGAAAGGGTAAGAGTGGGGGAAATGGGGGTGAGTATAAAAGAGGCTGGTTTTGTGTGAGCAGCATGCCCTGAGCCTGCTCACAGCAGTCTGTCTTATTGCCTTATTCAATACCTTTTCTCAACTGTGTGAGTTCTGCCTCTTTTTCTGTCCTACGTGAGGGTGCTGCGAGGTCCAAGCAAAGCTTGGTGTATCAGAGAACATCAAAAGGTTGGAGACCTTCCCATCTCTCAGCTTGTGAGACCAAATTAGCACAGCTGTAACCCCTTTCCCTCGGTCCTGAGCTCATTTCCAGTAACATTTCCAACATCCATTCTTCCTCTGATTTTTCCCATCCTGCAGTGCACGTCCATAATCTGTTCCAAAAGGCAGAAATGACTAAGTGAAATTTTCTGAACTCTCTTTTTCAAAAACTGGGCTCCATGCAGCCTGGAGAAGGGAAGTTGCTTAAGCTGCTGCAGAGCAAACTCCAAGACTCACTTACCTTACACAAGAAACCCATTAACTTGATTACAGCCCACCTTCCACCTTAAAAATCTCTGCTCATCAAGGGAGAAGTACACGCTGGAGAGATCCTCAGGGGAAAGGCAAACAACTTGCTGCCAATGGGGACAGAGGTTTCCTGAAATCAGCCTCTGGGTGGGAATAAAAAGTACATTTCTGCCCTAACCTTGCTCTAGTCCAAGCTCCTGGATGTGTGCAGAGCTCTCATGGCGTTCTGGGTGATTCTCCTCTGTACGTTGATAGCATCGCTGCTCGGTGGGCTCTTCTTCCTGGGCATGTTTCGAAGACGAAGACCCAACGAGCCACCTCTGGACAAAGGTACCATTCCCTGGCTGGGTTATGCACTGGATTTCAGAAAGGACAGTTCAGAGTTTCTCAAAAGGATGCAGAGAAAGCATGGGGATATTTTCACGGTGCTGATCGGAGGCTATTACTTCACCTTTGTGATGGACCCTTTCTGCTTTGGAGCCATCGTGAAGGAATCACGATCTAAACTGGACTTTAAGTCTTTTGCGAGTAAACTGGTCCTGCAGGTTTTTGGCTACAAAGCCATCGAAGCCAACCATAGCATCATTCATGCATCGAGCACGAAGCATCTGATGGGAGATGGACTCACTGTCATGACACAAGCCACCATGGAGAACTTTCAGAAGCTGATGCTTTTCAGTCTGAGCTCAGGAGAGGAGAAGAAAGGGTGGCGAGAGGACAGCCTCTTCCACTACTGCTACAACATTGTCTTCAGAGCCGGATACCTGGCTCTGTATGGCACTGAGCCACACCAAGGGGCAGATAACAAGGAAAAAGCTGACGAGCAAGATCGCATCCACTCCAACCAGGTGTTCCATGAGTTTCGGAAGTACGACCGCCTCTTCCCTCGCCTGGCCTATGCTGTGTTGCCTCCCAAGGACAAAATAGAAGCTGAACGTCTGAAGAGACTCTTCTGGAGCATACTGTCTGTGAAAAAGAGCTGGCAGAAGGACAATATCAGTGGGTGGATAAGTGATCAAAACCAGCTTCTGGCAGAAAACGGTGTCCCTGAGTATATGCGAGATCGTTTCATGTTTATGCTCCTCTGGGCATCCCAAGGCAATACGGGGCCAACTGCTTTCTGGCTGCTTTTGTATCTAATGAAACATCCAGAAGCTATGCAGGCTGTGAAGGATGAAGTAGATAAAGTCTTAAGGGAGAGTGGCCAGGAGGTGAAGCGAGGGAGCCCACCAGTTAACATCACTAGAGACATGTTAAACCAGACTCCTCTTCTGGACAGTGCTCTGGAGGAGACCCTGAGGCTGGTTGCAGCCCCAATCCTGATCAGAGCTGTCCTCCAGGACACCAGCCTCGAGACGAGCAGTGGGACAAAGTACACTCTTCGCAAAGGAGACAGGGTGGCTCTCTTCCCCTACATCTCTGTGCAGATGAACCCAGAAATTCACCCCGAGCCTCACGAGTTTAAGTACGACCGCTTCATAAACCCAGACGGCACCAAGAAAGATTTCTACAAAAATGGGAGGAGGCTGAAATACTTCAACATGCCGTGGGGGGCAGGAGTATCCATCTGTCCTGGGCGGTTCTTTGCTACCGCTGAAATGAAACTGTTTGCATTCCTGATGCTAAGTCATTATGACCTGGAGCTCGTCAAGGGAGAAGAGGAGATCCCAGCGATAGATATCAGCCGCTGGGGATTCGGGACAATGCAGCCTGTTCGTGATGTTCGGTTCCGATATCGACTACGCTCTTAAATTGGAAAGTCCTTGTTGTGGTGTTTGTTCTGGTGTTGTCTGTGAAATAAATTGCATGATGCTATGGTTGTGAAATCTGCACGGCATTAACACGGGTAGGATCTTGTTTGCTCAAAAATTACCGTGGCTTTTCTTTTTACCACCTTCACATGTATTGCTGCTTTATGTCTCTGCTTATTGTGGTGTTGGGTTATGGGATCAAAGCTCGTCTGGTCTCCGAAAAAGGACCATAAAGAGACAAATAATACCCTGCCAGGCTATTTCTAGCCCCATCCTGAGGACAATCAGCACCTCAAAAGCCCATCTGCACAAGGCCAGAGGCACGCAGGGGTATATTGGGAGGTGGGAACCCAAATTAAGGACTTCCAAGGAACGAGTATTTTGTCCAGGTCCTTCCCAGGACTGTTCCAGCAGAGCCATCAGCCCCACAGTCCCAACATGAGACCCATGGACATACGTCTTTGGGAGTGACTCTTGGGGTCACCATCTGGACTAAGGGGGATTGCTGTCGATGGAGGGGGAGAACTTTTGTTGTAGAGGGGCAGAACATTTTGGGATTGCACAGAATTTGTGGTGGGATGTTCAGGGGAGGAACCAAAGGTGGGGAAAGGGAGGGATTTTTGCGATTTGGAGGGGAAAATAGAGGGGTAAAGGGATCAAAATGCTGGTTGTGTGCGTAAAGGTGGCTGGTCCATACACGTGTCTGATCATTCACCTGATCAGCACAGTCTGTCCTCTTGTCTTCTTAAATTCCTCTTCTTAAATTCAAGACCGTGAGCTGCAGGGTCCGTGGTGCTGGCAGCTGGCACTAGTGTGCAAGTGTCTGTGTGAGCACAGATCAGGCCAGATGAGCCGGCAAATAAGTGGCTCAGGAGCCTGAGGGGAGCCTGGCTGCACACTGGCAGTGGGACTGCATTATTTTGTTATCAGCTCCTTACCCATACATTTATTTTCCACGTGAAGTCTCCTTAGTGGGATGGCATCAGCTTGTAAGAAACATCTGACAGGCCATAGAACAGCAAATATCCTCTCTGGAGATGTATGAATTCCCTTGGGCTTTTCAATGGTCTTGTCTGTAGTCTCCTTCTTGTATTGGCTGAGATCTCCAGTGGGAGCAGATGGTCCTCTACCCTCTCTTTGAGCCCCATGGGCTGATGGTGTTTCCAGAAGATGCCTTTTGGAAAGTGCCCCCCTCCACTTCTAAATTTAGATCTAAACCTCTCCAAAGGCTAAGGAGGCTGTAAGGAAAGGGATGGGGTGATGGCAAAGGGCTAGAAAACCAAAGCGGGGCATGAGAAAAAACTTGAAACCCTTGCAGGCTGCAGCCACTGCAACCTTGTGAGCCACCAAACATCTCTGGTTTATCCACTGGATTCAAAGCTCTGCTTTGCTTTTTTTTTTTTTCTCTTCAATAACCAGGACTCTGACAAAATCGGTCCTTACAGGGGTTAAATCACGGCCTTACCCATGCAGAGAACAGTGGATTGATTTTAATGCTGAGTCTAACCTTGGACTTTGGAGATTATGCCTGACTGAAGAACAAAACACAAATATTTTCATGTGTGTCCCAACATCAAAGACAGATTCTGCTTTGTTCTGCAAAGCACAGGGTTATGTTGCAACTACACGTTGAGGGCAAGCTATCCCTTACTGCCAGACTGGGCATTAGCCCAGACCTTGCATTTGTAGAAATTCAGGCAGAAACTATCAAGAAGCTGTGGCAGAGCCACAGAAAGAAAAAAAGAAAACCCAGCTACCTGTGACTGCACAAAGCTTGACTTTTACAGTTAATATTGCCATTAACAATGCTGCTAACTTCAGAAAGTGCAGCCTCTAAGAACTGAGACTAAGAACTAAGACTGAACTGAGAAGTAAAAATCACTGAACAGAACTGATTCCGTTCAGCTCAAATCAGGACACACTTTTTTGTGACCTCCACGTTCCCTCTACAGCTCTCACCTCTTTTTTTGTTACCCGTGGGTTCATTTCTTTGCTCTGCTGCCAGGAATTGAGTCTTCCCACATTCTGGCCAATGGTTTGATCTTTGCAAGCTCCAAACTTTGCCCAGGAGTGCCTTGGGAGAGCTGGTCAGCTCAGAGGCACCGTGACACGCCGGCCAAGCGATGTCCTTGCTCCAAGACTCTAGCAAAAGGATTTTTTTCATGTGGATGGTTTGCCAGAAGGCTGTTCACTGCTGATGCACAGCGTGTATTTGTGGTTATCGCTTGTAGGGACCAGGTTGGGGTTGAGGTGTGAGGGACGGGTGCTGTGCAAACATGGACTGGGCTTGGGAAAAGGATATAAAAATAAGGATGATGACAATGATTCAGCAGAAAATTCTGACTTTACTTCCTTGTCAGAGTGGTTTATTTAACCAAACAGTATTGAGTCCATAAAAGACTTCAGACATGCTCAAATGCATGCAATTATGAGAAGCAAAAAAAAAAAAAAAATATTATCACTTCATTTGAGTCATATACAGAAGATTGTGAAAGCTCCAAATGACTTAATGTGCAATTCAGTTTTATGCTTAGATGGGTTGTCCCCTGGCACTGAACTTTTCATCCCAAACTGTACCAGCAAGAGTAAAGAATTAGCCTATGCCAGTAGAAATCTTAGTGAATTTGTAAAAGAAATTAAACCGGAAGGGATCCAGGGTCTTGAAAAGTTTATTGGGGGGTAGACCTCACAGCAGTGTCTGTTTGACGTAAATCCTCTATCCCCCCGAGCATGGAGTCTGGCCCTAAACCCTTGGTTTTTCTCTTCTGCAGTGCATCAGGAAGACAATATTTAACATTTAAAGCTTTACAATCGATTGAGTCAGTGCTTGCTCTCCACAGCACAGTGAAAGCTCCTCTGTCCTCAGTTAAAACTCCTGCTCTGCAGACTGTGCAAGGGAAGGAGTCACGACAAAAAAACAATTTTGCAACAATATGGGTTAAACGTGTTGCAAAAGCCTGGTCAATCAGTATCGCTCTTAGTGTCAAACTGTAAATGCATTAGGAACAGTTTTTCTGTTCTCGTTCCTCTAAATGGAGCCACACACGGCTCTGTGAAAGCCTCCACTTACTGCTGCTTGTAAGGAAAATCGAAGAAACTCAGCGGCACCAATAGGTACATCATTCATTTCAGAGAAGCTCAAAGTACGCTGAGGTTATAAGTACAAAGCAATGCCACGGCCAACACCATCCGTTGCAAAGGAAAGCAGATGGAGAAGGAGAAAGAGGAACGTGAAAATTTGGGATTTATTTTTCCTTTTTTTTTTTTTTTTAAGAAATTAAAACACGCAGCATTTGCCGGTGACACTGCTACCACACCTCCTGGTAGATGTGCCCTGTGCACTCCCCAGAGAAGAGCAGCCTGGCTTCAAAGCGACAAAGTCTCGTGGTGGTAAAACATCTGCACATAATGAGGTCACGGTCACTACTGCATTTCCTGCCTTTACTGTCTGGTGACCAAGTTATTCCCACAAGTCACAGCATATGCAGACGCACCCGGTGCAAACAGAGCCCCCTGTTACAGAGGCAGTGACGCCAGGCAGAACGGGGATGCCTTTTTGTAGCGGAGCAAAGCGAGGCTGCCATGAGCCACTCACACAACATTTGACAGCTCGGGTGTGCTTTTTGCACAGTTCAGCCCTGCTTGTGGGAAAACCCATACGGAGAAACGCTCCCTGTGCCAGCACCTTGGCTGTAAGAAACATCTTTCCCAGGGATGCCTATGCACCAAGTCACAGCTTGGTTTCTTCAAGAGTTGCTTCTGTGTGTTTGTCCTTTAGCGTGTTTCTGAAATAACTGGTGCAGATGCAGTCGGAGAGGTGAGGGGTTACTGTACAATCTCACGTGATGGGTAACTCTCCTAGGAGTAATGGGAGGCATCAGGTTGGAACTCTACATCCAAAGCCTGAAGACACATGGCTGTCTAATATTAGCCTCCCAAAACTGCTTCACTCTTCCCTGTTTCCCCATCATAACTGGCCATTACATTCTTTTGGGGTTGAAGGCAGGTGAGAAACCCAGGTGAGAAACCCACCAGTCACTCAGACCCTGCTGGGGTGGTCACTGGGATGAGCAGCGCGGTAACACCTGAAAGCGTGGCTGGTTATCACTTGCTGGGACCAGGGGCAGAAGCCAGTGCTCAGCACTCCCACGCATGGAGTCTTTCTGACCTCAGGGAAGGATTTGCAAAGCTACTCGGGGCTGGTAGCTAATCCCATTCAGAAATAGTCCCATTCAGAAATCGTTCTTAGTTTTTCCAGGGAGCGTGCAGCCAAGGGACACACGTACCGTCAAGTTACCGTTGGTCAGCTGAGCTGCGTTAACAGTCTCCGTTTCTGTTCTTACCTCGTGGCGATGCTCATCTATGGGTTAGTTTGCTCAGTTCTGCTAAACTGCATTCGCGGAGAGCAGTTACCCCAGCTCAGCTGATGCACAGCAACTTGGCAGGACTCCTTGGTACCAAACTTTGAGTGCAGAAGGGGAGAGGGAGGCGATTCATGTCTGTCGCCGCATCCACGTCACTGTGCAATCATGAGGCCATACTTGGAGCACAGCAGGCCCCTTTTCTTTTCCCGGTCGGTGAGGAAATTCCTCAGTTTGGTAGTGGGGAAGGTGACCAGTGCTTGCTGCCTGTTGTCCAGACCTGTTTCCTGGAGCCACAGGCTCTGAAGGCATTCCGAGGCTGATGGCCTTCCCCTAGAAAAGACAACGGTGAGAAGGTCAGTCAGGGAACTGGATGAGGAGGCTTCTTGCAAATGGAGAGAAAGAAGGGGCAATAGCCAGGATCTGCACCATTTGTGCTGCTGGGAGAGCAGACCCCATCTTACCAGGGGTTTGCACACAACGTGCTCTGAAGAAAGGCCACTGCTCCCCCCGAGAGACCCGCGTAGCATCGCGTGAGCTTCACTTTACCCTTCCTGGTCATTCTCAGAAACTCACAGGCTGCGTCGGAGCTGACAGGGTAGTTGGCACTCAACCTGCTCCCCCCAAAAAAGAGAACTG